TTTTTGGTTTATATGTTTATATGTGCTTATGTTTGAGATGCACTCCTGGTAGATCAAATGCAGTACTTACTCAAAATCATGTATTATTTCTTTCAGGCCAGCTAGTAAAATTACTAATACACAGTGGTGTTACTAAGTATTTGGAATTCAAAACTTTAGATGGTAGTTATGTTTACAAAAAAGGCGATAAAATTTATAAGGTTCCAGCTGATGAAAAAGAAGCTTTGTCAACAAGTAAGTACAACTGTATTCTGTATTTTTGATTGTATCAGCTTGTATTGTTGAAGTTTTATAAACAAGATTTGCAAGGTAGCATTTAATCTGTTAATGTAGTCCGCAAATTTCATCTCTGTGTTTGTTTGTGTGTGTGCGCGCATGTTGGTCTGTCTGAACTGTATCTTAGACATGCCAGGTCCAGTTACTTTCAGACTTTACACACACATCATATCATACATAAACACGTTCATGATCCAATTCTAGATGGCCAAATAGTGGCCATTATAGTGCTAAAATTCATTAAAATCAAGCGATTCTGTCATTCTAGAACTAGATTCTGAGTCGTGTGTTGAGATGCAGTTGAAACAGTCTATGTCCACCCAAGGGACTTCAGATTTTTGTCCTTAGACTAATTTATTCATGAATATTAATTAGACCATATAGTTCCTAATATCTATTATTAAACAATGAATCAGTGTAATTTCAATCCCATTTTGCTTACACAAACTATGGTGCATACATTTACAAAACAAAATATGAATTTGAATATTATTTTTATTTTAGTAAATATGAAGGAGATTTGTATTTATTTTTCAAATCCAATATAAGCCACAATTGTATCCAGTTGTGTGAACAACTTAACGTTTGTTTAGTGGTCGTTGATTATTACTGGAAGCATTCTGGGGGAAAAAGAAAATTCAGATTTCCTTCTATTTTTTTTAAAAAAAAAATTATTACATTTTCCTTTTGCAAATTTCTCCAACATACCATTTATCCAGTAGTCCATCCAAACTGACCCATTCAGTGTGAAAATAAATGTTGAAAGCTGGTCGGTCCTGTATTATACTGATAGTCAAACAAATAAAAACCATCACTGACTAACTGAAGGCAATTGAACAGCTTTGCTGCAGCCATCCATTGTTGCATGTATTGGGACTGTAATGACTAGAAAATTCACAATTCTACTTTGAAAAGGAAATTGAACTAAAAAAGCAAAAGACTTTTTAACAATGCTGTTCCAGTAACTTCATAGCACAAAAAACACCAAAGAACATGTGCAAGACTCAATTTGCTTTTCCACTGATATCTCAAATATTAATCATCGCATTTCAATGAAACTTGGTACATTGATGTCATAGGACAATGCACTGACCTGTTTAGTTTGGTTTGAAAATGCATATTAATTACCAAATTTGCATAATTTTGTTTAGCCAATTTTTGGCTTTTACATCAATATCTCAAGTACTAATTATCCATTTTCTATGAAACTTGGTAGATATATGCTATAGGACAATGCACATAACTGATTAGTTTAGGGTTAAAATATGTGCATATTATTTACCTGAATTTGCATAACAATTAGTTTTCAGCTTTTCCATCAAATCTCAAGTACTTATCTTATTTCAATGAATCCTGGTACATAAATACTTTAAGACAATCTAATGTAATCTAATGTTTTAGGTTTATATATATCCATAATAATTACCAAATGTGCATAATAATTTCCACCTTTTAATAAGCTCCGCTGTGAACTTTGTCATACGAGTCGTCCGTGTCAATGTTTTACTTTTTCAACTTCTTTTTGAAAACTACAAGCCTGAATGCTTTGATACTTGGTGTATATGTACCTTGGGTAGACCTCTCTTAGGTTTGTTCATTTCATGTTGATATCTTCAATTCTCTAATTTTGGTGAATATTTTTGTCATTTTTGGTAAAAAGTGATATTTCCACTTCTTGTTAAAAAAGGCAAGTCCGATTGCTTTGATATTACATATATAGGTACTACATGTAAACATCTCTCAGATTTGTTCATTTTGTGATGATACCGTCAATTCTCTAATTTTGGTGAATATTTTTGTAATTTTTGGTAAAAAGTGATATTTTCGACTTCTTGTTAAAAACCAATAGTTCAATTGCTTTGATATTACATATATAGATACTACATGTAGACCTTTCTCAGATTTGTTCATTTCGTGATGATATCTTCAATTCTCTAATTTTGGTGAATATTTTTGTCATTTTTGGTAGATAGTGATATTTTAGACTTCTTGTTAAAAACTGTAAGTCCGATTGCTTTGATACTATACATATTGTTCATTTTCTAATGATGTCTTCAGTTCTTCAATTGAAATGTGCATTGCTAACAGCGGAGCTATCTCAGCCGATAGGCTGCTTGTTATATATATATTGTTCATTTTCTAATGATATCTTCAGTTCTTTAATTGAAATGTGCATTGCTAACAGCGGAGCTATCTCAGCCGACAGGCTGCTTGTTTTTTAGTTTTAAATCATCACATTATAATGAAACTTGTGGCCCTGGAACAATACACAGACCTCAATCTATGCATAATAATTCATTAATTTGCATAATAATTCATTTGGTTCCTTGGGGTAATCCACAGACATGGTTAGTTTAATGTTCAAAAACATGCAGTGTTCTCCCCAGAAATTGTTCATAGAGTTGCGGCTAATTTGCATAATAATTAGCATTTAATTAGCATAATTTAACATATTGTTTGTCATATGGGGAAATAAAAAAAAAAAACAGTTTTTTTCCTTTTTTTCTATTTATTTTATGTACAATCTGTATACAATTATTGCACTGCATGTTTAGTATTGCAAATGTCCTGCAGAAATACTGAGTTTTCTGTTTCTTTGCTTTGCCCAGCAATCAGCAACTTTATAAAACCCTGTTCAGTCCCGGTAAATTAAACATTGGGTTGATTATTCTCATTGCTTGTCTTCCGTTTCTGTTGTTTTCTGGTTAAGTACAACAACTGTTACGAGTCACGATACTTACGCTACTATGTTCGAGCAATAATAGTTTTTCTGGCTGAAATTATCCATCTTTATGTATTTTTTAGCTCCGCTGTGGACTTTGTCGAGCGGAGCTTATCATATGAGTGATTGTCAGTCGTCGTCCGTGTCAATGTTTTACTTTTTTGACTTCTTCTTGAAAACTACAAGCCTGAATGCTTTGATACTTTTTTTTGTATTTAAAACATTTTTTATTGAGTCAATTTACATAAGCACTTTACGTAGTTACATGTATGTGTACCAAAAAAAATTACATTGCACAACAAGTACAAAGTCTTCACAAAAATATTACAATTTTTT